TGGGTAGCAAAGAAAGCATTCATCCACACCAGGCAGGCAGGACCTCTGATAAAGACCGATGCTGATGACCATCAGCCACTGAAGTTAATGTTTTTTCTCTAAAAATGAACTAGAGAACCATAGGGGTGTGTGTATGTGTGTGTGTATATATATATATATATATATATATATATATATATATATATTTATTTATTTATTTATTTATATATTATATATATATATATATTTATATACATATATATATATATATACACCACATTTTGCAAAATATTGAGTCAACTCATATCTAAACACATGGAAGAAGCTTCGGATAACATTTCAGAATTTTTTGAGACTTCCATAATTCTATGACTAGTTAATAAATAAAATATACAACTGAAGGCACTCATGTGTGCGCATGTGTATGCACACACGCACATACCCCACTGTTGAATGAACATATCAAGCGTAGAATTGTTTTATCACACATTTTGCCAGCTCCTCATATTTCTTCAACACTTGACTTTTCAAAAACAAATTTTTCTGGGAAATTTTTGTCTTTTACACTTTCCAGCTTTTTACAGATCAAGATGTTAATAAAAAATAAACAACTTAGGAAAATTGGATGCGTGTCGTCACATTTGGAAATATCAGGATTTCTAAGAAGAGAAAAAAAATCTATGTTTTTGGCCCTTGGTGTTGTAACAGTCCTCATGTAGGAATCTATAGTACATACTGATGTTACACACTAGCATTACAGGGTTGTTGTGAGGATTAAATAAGATAATGTTATATAAAGTAATTGGAACACAATACTTTGTTTTAGCATGAAGCAGAATAAACAAAATAATAAGCTTCTTAGAAGCTAGAGAGTTGTCATATCTTTGTTTTGATAAGTTTTAAATCTTGTACTAATTTCCATGTAGGCAGGTACCTGCTTATTCTGTTACCTCAAAGCTGACCAATGGTCTTGAATGGCCTTGAATCAGCAGTCCTCAAAATATGGCACGCTGACCCCCTCTAATAAGGTCTCTAATAGCCTTTTCAAGGGTGGGGATGGCCGCTTAAACTATTTTCATAATAATTGTAATGATAGTAATTTTAATTTAATTTAATAATCATAAAGTTAATTTCATAATAACGCTGATTGTCAAATATTATTTTTTAACTGTTGTCATTTGTGCTGATGGTCCAAAAACAATAGTGGGTAACATTACTGATACTCTAATATAAATTAAGACAAACTTCTGTAACTGTAACAAATGTTTGAAATAATCAGCTTATAAGGAAAAAGAGTTTATTTCCCAGTTTTAAAGTTTTCCATACATCATCAGTTGGCTCCATTACTACAGGCAGGCAGCACAGCATGGCAGGAACGTATGGAGAAGCAAAACTGCTCACCTCAGTGGAAGAAAAAGAGAGGAAAGGGGAAGGGGCAAGGGTCTCAAAATCCCCTTCAAAGTCATACTCTCAGTGGTCTACATCTCCCGTTAGGTGCCACTGCTTAAAGGTTCCACAACTTCCCAATAGCACAGCGCTAGGGACCAAGATCTTACCACATGGATCTCTGGGGGGACACTTAAGATCCTAACTATAATAAGTACCAAAGTGCACTGGTAGACACGTTGTTTGTTCTTTATGCTCACATGCTCATGGAAAGAAAAGAGAATGCTAGTATCACTTACAAACAGCCTCGATTTGCAAAAATAAAATAATACAAACCTTCTCATTCATTTGTTTAAAATTTGGGAATATACCATTATCATTCAAAAAATATCTTCATACGTGTAATAGGCTTATTATAAATCAATATTTTTAATTTTTCCATATTTTAACTTTGGTGTGTGATATTGGGGATTCAACCCAGGGCCTTGTACTTGCTAGGCAAGCACTTTACAACTGACTACATTCCCAGCACTGTATTTTAACTTTTAATTTATTTATGTTGGTACCAGGGATGGAATCCAGGGGCACTTAACCACTGAGCCATAACCCCAGTCTGTCTTTTTTTTTTTTTTTTGAGACAGAGTATTGCTAAGTTACTTAGGGCCTTGCTAAATTGCTGAGGGTGACTTTGAACTTGCAATCCTCCTACTTCTGCATCCCAAGTCACTGGGATTATAGGAATAAGCCACCATGCCTACTATTTTAACTTTTTAAATATTAATATTTTAGCTGGGCATAGTGGTGCACACCTATAATTCCAGTAACTTAGGAGGCTGAGGCAGGAGGACTGCAAGTTCCAGACCAACTTCAACAACTTAGCAAGGTCCTTAAGGAGACCTGTCTGAAAATAAAACATAAAAAAACAGGTTGAGAATGTTTAAGCTAGTGTTTAAGCTACCTTGGGTTCAATTCCTGGTTTTAAAAAAAATCAGCTACAGCTATATAAAGTAAAATTTTTTGATGTCCTCAATAATTTGGGGGAATGTAAAGTGATTCTAGGGCCAAAAAGTTTAAGAACCATTATTCTAAATAGTTGTCCAAACAAACTGATTCTCCTTTGGCCATTCTCAGGAATATAGTGCTTAGGGCCAAAACTACAGTAGGAAATGTTTGTTTCCTATTCAGTGTAGGCAGTAGAAGATTTTTAGGGAAAACATTTAGGAGCTAGAGTTAGCATGCTAATAGTTCATTTTCATACCATGTCTAATAGATCAGGACCACTGAGTTAAAGGGAGTCAAGCCAAGGTCTCTTTTGGAAAGGCAGGCTGCCTGTCTGCATGAAGGGAAAAAACATCAACAAAAAAACAAAACTGAAACCCCTTCTGATAAGAAAACATGTTTCTTCTCCATACATTTGTCTTCTTATTAAGATAGACAGAAATGTGTCCTTGTGTCATTCAAACAAGACAAAAGGAAGTAGCAACTGGATCTCCCCAGGGCCCACGATTTCTGCTCAGAGGAGACCATAATAAAAAAGTGAGAACATTCCAATGTTTCAACAGCAAGGGCCTGTGCACAAATTTAGCCCTAAGAGATGTGGCAACCCCTCTGTTCAGTCTATCTCCTTTCCAAAGCCAGCCCTGAGGCTCAGGACCTTTTGGATTCTTAATTTTCCATCAGAGGATAGATTGTGATACCCAAACATTGTTTAGGTTCTGCATTTAATAAGAAATAAGAACCACAGAAACCATTTGACCCACTTTAGCTTCTTGGTATTCTGAAATTTCCACCTCACTGGAACAACAACAAAAATCTAAGTATGATGTAACTAAAAAAAACGTGTTGTCATCCAAGAGGAAAAAGAAACAATAAGGACCAATACTGGCTTCAGATGGATTTGTTTCTGAAAACAGGCGACACAGAGCATCACCAATGAGGTAAAAGCAAGAGCGGACTGGAAGTCAGCCAGTGGACTCTTCAATCCTTTAGATCCTTGCAAAAAGCTTTGCTTCTATACTGAGCCAGTCTATCTTGGTCATAAATTACCACTATCTTCTTGAAGACTGGTCATATGTGAAAAAAGTAAAGGATAGTGATCTCTGTGAACCCTAGAATCAGCCGTCCTGGATTCAAATTTCAGACCTCGGTTTCCCCCACTGTAAATTGGGGAAAGCGACGGTACTTTAGATAAAGTCCTTGTGAGGATTACCTAATGCATAAATGCATAAAAAGCACTGAGTACGGACACTGGCACACACTAAGTGACAAAAAAGGGGGGGGGGCAGCTACATTAGGGGGATTCTTTGCTTCGTATTCCTATCTGTGAGCAGTTTTTTCCGTTATGTCTCCACATGAACCCTTTCTCTCCGAAGCATCTGGTCCTTCATATTCCTGAGTCATCATCATTAAGATGCCGGGTTTCCGAAGTCATCCCTCCTCCTACTGCTCTCTAGGGCTCCCTCTCCTGACTGCTTAGCTCTCGTGGGGGCTCAGACCTAGATTCCGGGACTGCGAATCTCTCGGGGCTTCTCCACCTGTCTTGGAGGAATGTCCCCAGTCTCGCTGACCCACAGACCACCTAAGTGACTAGAGTGGAACCTGGAGACGCGCTCCAGGCAAGCCGTGGGAGCAAGGACTGGGAGGGGGCGCGCCGGGGTGGGAACGAGGCCGGGGGCGGGGCCGCGCTCCACCGAGGTGAATGCGGGACCAGGGCGAGGCCACACCCCAGGTGAGCGTACGGGGCGGGGCCGCGCCCGCGGTGGGAGCGAGGCTGAAGGCGGGGCCGCGCCGCAAAGTGGGGCCGCGACCGGGAGCGTGGCCGTGCCCGAGGGCAACCGGGACCCTTAGGGGTGGTGCGCCCTCACCCCTGCAGGCGGCGCGCGCAGCCGGCCGCGGGCGGGAGGCAGCGCAGGGGTTACGGCGGCCGGCGCCACCTGGGCGCCGCTGAGGAGACCCGCGAGCCGGCGAATCCCGCGCGGGCGCGGCAAACAGGTGCCCGCGCGCGTCAGGCGCCGGCGAGGGGCGGGGAGAGGGGCGCGGCCGGAAGCCCGGGGCGGGGTGCTGGCGTCCCGGTGAGCTAGAGGAGCCGGGAAGGCAGGAAGGAGCTCCCTGGGCTGCGCGGCGCGCGATGTGGAGCCGCCGCCTCGGCCCCTGCAGCAGCAGCCGCCGCCGTCGCCGCTGCTGCTGGGGCTGCCGCCGAGTCGAGGGACATGGAGCGCGGCTGCAGAGAACGGCCGCCGGCAGCAGCAGCGACAGCGAGCGTCGCAGCGACAGCGGAGCGCAGCCCGCCCCGTGAGACGCTGCCTGTCCGGCGGCGGCAGCAGCAACAGGGCGGCTGAGAACCCGGCAGCGGCGGCGGCGTTCCTCTCGCAATCTCCCCTCCCGCTTCGGCCCCTCGGCCTTCCCTTCCTTGGCCTTCCTGTTCTTACCCCCATCCTCGTTTCCCCCCCCCGGCGCGCGCGAGCAGCTGAGCCCGGGGGCGGGGGCGCGTGCCGCCGGCGCGGGGGAGGGGCGGGCCGACGCGCGCCGCGCCCAGTGCTCGCGGGGACCCGAGGGGCGCGTGCCGCGGCGCGGGGCGCGGGGCGGCGCGGCGGGGCCCCTCCCCCCTGCAGCCTGGCGCGCGCCGGCCGGGCCGCACCGCTGCGGGCTCCGCGCGCGCGGGCCATGTCCGCCTTTTGCCTGGGCTTGGCCGGCCGCGCTTCAGCACCCGCCGAGCCGGACAGCGCCTGCTGCATGGAGCTGCCCGCCGCGGCCGGGGACGCAGTCCGGAGTCCCACCGCCGCCACCGCCCTCGTCTCCTTCCCCGGGGGCCCTGGGGAACTGGAACTAGCTTTAGAGGAGGAGCTGGCGCTGCTGGCGACCGGGGAGCGGCCCTCCGATCCCGGGGAGCATCCTCAGGCCGAGCCTGGGCCTCCAGCCGAGGGGGCCGGACCACAGCCGCCGCTTGCCCAGGACCCTGAGCTGCTGTCGGTGATACGGCAGAAGGAGAAGGATCTGGTGTTGGCGGCTCGTCTGGGCAAGGCACTGCTCGAGAGGAACCAGGACATGAGCCGGCAGTATGAGCAGATGCACAAGGAGCTGACGGACAAGCTGGAGGTGAGGATCTCTCTGAATGGGTGGGAAGTAGGGGCAGGCCAGGTACCCCTAGTTCTAGGCAGTTTAGGGAGCCACTCACTCTCTCCCCTTCCATTGCTTACGCCACCTCAAAGAAAATAATCTGGAACAGGAGGTAGGATAGAGGGTTTCTAATTATTAGTTCAGGATATTCGTTGAACCAACCTGACTTTCCCACCCCGCTCACGGCAAATGGGTCCGTGCATGGCTTCACTGCCGTTCTATATATGTACAGTACACAGTATCTAAAATAGAGCTTACAGTATGACTAATTTATACAGCACTGAGACGATGTCTGCACACAGAGAAATGAGAAAGTCGGTAAGCATTTAAGATATGCTCCAGGTTTTCAGGGAAGTAGTTAATCTGTAATCGGGGTGTTAGCCTAAAGCTTTCCAGTTTGGGCATTAAGGTCTCCAGATGCCCTTGTCTTAACTTCCTGGCAGGTCAAAGTTATGAGAAACAAGTGCCCATACAGAAGCTTTATATAGCCTTCAAATACTTGGGGATTAGGAAATGTGGTTCCATTGCAGAAACCAGGCAAGAGGTTCAACATGTGACTGCTGGTAGTGGATTTAATTTGGGCCTCAATATTTATTTGTAAAAAGCCATACTTTTCCGTGGTCTAGGTCTCAGGCTTGCAGTTGTATGCCAGGTGCAACCTACGAGAACTGTATTACTTGTAACTTTTATAAATATCTTTTAAAGTATCTGTAATGTTTTTGAGTTTCCTAGACCAAAGTCTTTAAGAGCTATGCTTGTTTGCTTTCTTATTCTTAACCAGAAAAGAGTCTTAGATGAAGTACAGAATATTAGCATTGGCAAATATTAACATTTCTGAAAATTACATTTGCAAAAAAAAAAAATGGAAAGGGGTTGTCATCTACAATAGTGGAGACAAGCTTTTTCTTTTCTGACTGCATTTGCTATTGTTACTAAGTTACTGATTGCTGTCAGTTCTTTCATTCTTTATTTACCAGAGAGAAAAAAAAAATAGTACAGACCTGAATAAGGTCTGAAATTGACCCTAGTTGGGTTTCATGTACATCACTGCTACTGGTTGAACAGTCGGTGGAATCAGAAACATTTCTTTAATAAGATTTTTGTGTGTCTAGTCCAAAGGCATATCAAAAGTAAAATCAGGAAAAAAAGGAAACGAGTGAGTGCCGTGTGGTTCAGCTGGCCTGTTAACTGGGTCTGCCTGTTATGAACTCAAGATTCATCTCTGAAAAGTTGTTTGTGAAAGCTATGTGGAGACTGCCAAAAAGCAACCTAATGAATTGAATTGTTTGATTTCACTTGAATTAGAGGTCTAGAAATAAAAGAGTGTCTTTTTTTCCCTAAAGAGATTCAGTTACTCGAGTCTGTAAAGAAGTACTACTGCTGAGATTTATACTTGAGATTTGAAATTCCTTTGGTGAGATAACTTGATTGAAGAGACAGCTGACTTGAAAGGAACATCGTATCAGTTTGATTAGTGATAGATTTCATAGTAATCCTGAGTGTACAATTACATCCTGTTTTCCATGTGGAGTCTTTATACGTTTCTTCAAAAGGAAAAAGATTTCAAAATTCCACGCCAACAAAAAGTGTTTTTGTACAAGAACAAATTACCTTTGACATTTTGTAATTGGTTTGATGGGCAATAATAAAAACGTTTTAATCTCTCAAACTATTATTTAAGGTCTTCACTCTTCTGCGAGTCAGCATATGAACAGTAGTGATAAAATTTTTTTTAGATTCTGGACATTGGTGCAAAATGTCGTGAATGTACTTAACACAATTATATGCTTAAAAATGGGTAAAATGGGCTGGGGATGTGGCTTAAGCGGTAGCACGCTCGCCTGGCATGCGTGCGGCCCAGGTTCGATCCTCAGCACCACATACAAACAAAGTTGTTGTGTCTGCCGAGAACTAAAAAAAAAAAAAAATTAAAAAAAAAAGATAGTAAACATTCTTATTTAAAAAAATGGGTAAAATGGTAAATTGTATATTATGTATATTTTACCACAATTTAAAAATAACCAAATTAAAAATTTTCAAGTTTATTTATGTTAGTTCTTCTAGATATAGTTGAAATTATGAAAGTATTCTAAGTTTTTTTTTGGTTTTTGAAACAGGGTTTTGCAGTGTTGCCCATGCTGGCCCCGAACTCCTGGGCTTGAGCAATTCTTCTGCCTCAGCCTCCTGTATAGCCAGACCTACAAGTGTGCACCACTGCACCCAGCTCTAATTTTTTAGTGAATGTTTTAAAAATCATTTAAAATATATTAACATTTAAAAACATATTAACATTTAAAAATATTGCCATTAGTTGCTTTTTTTTGTATGTGTGTGCACATGGTGCTGTGATTGGGACTCACAAGCTCTCTACACTGAACCATACTCCCAGCCCTTGTTAATTCTTTTAATGTTAATCAGTTTTGCTACTCTCGAGTTTACATTGGACTGTTTCATTTGATAACTGCAAATGAGTTTTCCCCACAGTATAGTTTTTGAAAACACAGTTACTGTGTTTTCAATCAAATTAAACATTTGGGAGTAAAGAAAGAGCCCTTTCTTTAAGAAGGATTTATGATTTTCCCAAAACTCATACATTGGAGTCAAACACATTTTCTCACAGGTTGGTTTGAAAGATATATTTGAGTGGAGGCTGGGCATGAGGGCACCTATGATACTAGCTATTAGGGAGGCTGAAGCAGGAAGATGAGTTCCAGGCTGCTTGTGCAGCAACAATTGAAACCCCATCTCAAGAACAACAACAAAAAATGAGTGGACTCACAGAATGGTGGTTTACACTTAGATGGGTTTTCTTTTATTTTTTGAAAAATATTTTTTAGCTGTTAATGGACCTTTATTTTTATGTGGTGCTGAGAATTGAACCCAGTGCCTCACACATGCTAGGTAAGAGCTGTAACACGGAGCCACAACCCCAGCCCCTAGATGGGTTTTATTTTAGTGCCATCTGTTTCCTTGCTACTTCAGAATTGGCACCTTCCTGCCAGATATAGTGGCAGGAAGGCTTGGGAGGCTGAGGCAAAGAGGATCACAAGTTCAAAGCCAGCTTCAGAAACTTGGTGAGGCCCTGTGTAACTTTTCTAGACTGTTTCAAAATAAAATATCAAAAATGGCTGTGGTTTTGGTTCAGTGGGTAAGCGCCCCTGGGTTCAATATCTAGTACCAAAAAAAAAAAAAAAAAAAAAAACCCTCAGGACAAACAAGCCTATTTATTTATTTTTAAATTATTTCTATGTGGTGCTGAGAATCGAGCCCAGTGTCTCACACGTATGAGGCAGGTGCTCTACCAGTGAGCTACAGCCCCAGCGCCAAACAATCCATTTTCAAGATCTTTCCTACTTATTCATAAATTCATAGAGTAACTCTCCAGTTCTGTGCCAAACCCAAGATTTTGTTTTCTCATTTCAAATATCAAGTACTTGAGCCTACATTTTTCAAATTAAAGGTATACTATTTAAAATTTTTAATGGTTTAAAGGTTAACATAGAAGTTGTTTAGCTGTACGTCTCTCTTAAATTGAAAGTTGAAGTTTTCTAGAAAAACTGTTAGGTTTTGGCCATTTTTCTCATCCTCAAATCAACAAGACTATATTCTTTCATGGAATCAGATTTTCATATACTTTAAGTTCTAAAGACTTTTTGTTTCTACTGCATCTATAAGCCCCTTTGATCTTAAAAACATATCTAACCAAGTCCTTAATTTTTTCCCCAGAATATGAACTGAGAAACTAACTTGTATTTCTATACTTGTATTCTTTAGGGATTAAAATATTTGTTGTTGTACAGTACCCAATTTTTTTCTCTTATGGCTGAGAGTGGATCATCCCTTACCACAGAGGTAGTCTCTTCCTTCAGTTATATTTTCCTTCCTCCACTGTCAGCCAATTCTTATGATTATAGTAGTTTTTTGGTTTTTTTAAGGGGAAGAGGGTTGAAAATGTGTATCTGGGAGTCACTACCAGATCTAGAGGAGCAAACCTCAGGGTACTGATTTGCATTCAGTGCTTGCTCTTCTTAGAGAACAATTCTTTCTCTTTGTATTTTTCAAGAACCATGTCCTGGACTTATGATCATAGTGACACTTTTTTCTTACTCCTTTTTAATTTTTTCAGAGATATGTTTTGGTAAAGATCTATTTTATGTATGCTAATGATATTTTTGGTTTTTGGGAGTTTTAAGTAGACTGTTTGTTAGAACAGTTGGTTTTAGATTTATGGGAAAATTGGAAAGAAAGTACAGAGAGTTTCCATGTACTCTGCATCCAGTTTCCTCTTGCTAACACTAGTATGATACATTTGCCACAATTCATGATACCCACTGAAGTCCTTACTGTATTCTGATTTCCTTAGCCTTTGTCTAATGTCTTTTTCTGATCTAGGATACTACATTACATTTGGTTTTTGTCTCCTTAGGCATTCCAGGATCCCAACCAGGGTCCCATATTACATTTAGTTTTGTTTCCTTAGGCTCTCCTTAGCTGTGACAGTTTCTTGAACTTTCCTTATTTTGATGAACTTGACAATTTTGATATTAACTTTTAAAATACTATATAACCCTGAAAAAAGGGGAGAGCATAGGTGACCCTGATATCTGTGCTTTCCAACATTCTGCTTAGAATTTTCTGGCTAATTTAGCACTTAAATATATAATTCCTGAAGAAATAAGGAGTTTGTCTCCTGTTAAAGGACAGATTAGACTGATCAGCACCACCTGTCCTCAGCCCCTCCCCCCACGTGGATTGGATTGTTTTAGTTGCTTGGTTGGGCTGTTCTCTAGCAGCTGTTTGCTGAATATTTTTAAGTCTCTCTGTTCTTTTAGAACACAAGCCTAATTTATCTGGCCTCTCAGTAACACTGATTACTGAGTTCTTGCTGGTGCCTTCTGCTCAGTCTTTCATTTTGGAAAAATTCAATAAACCAAGTATCACAGTTTTAGTATTGCAATTAGCATTTTTTTCTGCATTCTATCTTTATGAAGTTTCTATATTGACTAAATCATTCTCAGTTTTGTAAGTTTAGCAGTGTCAGGGAAACACAGAGCAAAAACTTCTCAGGCTGGTGAGTAGAAGTCCATGCCTTGTTCCTTTTTCCACATGCTCCAATCTGAGATTGTATTATGTATAAAAGTAAAGTGATGTGACTTTTTCAACAAATATACCAGCAGTAACCAAACGAGTGGTCTCCTTAAAGTAGTCATCTTGGAAGCTCTCAGAGAAAAATCTTTGCTAATGGGCTCAGAATTTTAATTTTGGATTGCTGTTTTTATCTTTCAACATATTCTTTTCGCTGCCCTCAATTGTGGCACATTTTCCTCTGTGAGGGGGTAAATTTGACTTTCAGAAACATTCATAAATCACTTAGAGCAAAGTAAGGGGAATTAGATAGCAGGGTGAAATGGGATAATTTCATTTTTAGACACACCTCATATGTAAAGCAATGGGAATGATTTTCTTACATGAGGATAAGCTATCCCTGAGGCTTCCCAAAAGAAGCATTCCAAAAATATTTTGAAAGCTGAGAACTTCAGTCAAGTAAGAGTGTAGCTGCCTAAGAAGAGATGACTGAGTACTCAAAAGGAGAATGCATGTGCTCATTTTAGGTTGAAAGAGCACAACAGCTCAGTGCCAGCCCTCAGGGCAGCAAAATTTCCTGTAAAAATCAAATACATGTACCTGTGTTTATATTCATACATAGATGTCTAGACCTCATTCCATTCCCAGCTGAATTACAATCTTAGGAGTGGGGATGTGTGTGTGTGTGTGTGTTGCTGAGGATTGAACCCAGGGCCTTGTGCATGCAAGGCAGGCACTGTACCAACTGAACTATATCCCAAGCCCTGGTGTGGTATATTTTGAACAATCATTAGAACTTTTCTGAGAGCACCAAGAGGTGAGGATTCTTACTTTAACTTGCTTGAAGTATGCACTCTTTTATTGTACATAACATGCTTTTTAAGTAGGAGGATATACTTGTGTCTGAAAAGAGGCATCCGTATTTGTCTCACAGAGGCAAAATATTTCCTGCAATCCACAGGGATCTTTTTTATTGAGTTGCTACTTAAACCATCTGTACTTTTCCTGCATACCCTTTATCACACACAGTTTATTACTTCTTCAGTCTCTCCCATTGGAATTAAAACTCCATAAAGGCAAGAAGCTTGTCTGTTTTGTTCATCACCATGTCCCCAGGAACATAGCTCTCAAGAATGGATGAATGGACCAGAAATAAATATGCAAGGCTTATTAATAGGCCACAATTTAAAGTAGACCTGAATCTGAACTTGTCTTAATGACTTTGAAATATATAACAATACAGAAATACCTAAAATGCAGAACATATATTTATTAAGCTATAATTTAGAGCACTAGTCATGTGACTTGGACACAAATCCCAGCCCTGCCATTTACTAGTACTGACCTTGAACTAGTCACTTAACTGCCTCTGTTGCCTTATTTGTAAGAAGAAATGATTAATCTGAAGCATCTTTGAAAATTCTGCAGTTGTAAGGGTCTGATATTAAGGCATGCATAATAAATAGTTCCCAAGAAGACCCCTTTAAAAAGCAATGAGTGGTCGAGCATGGTAAATCATGCCTGTGATCCCGGCGGCTTGGGAGGCTGAGGCAGGAGGATTGAGAGTTCAAAGCCAGCTTCAGGAGAAGCGAGGTGCTATGCAACTCAGTGAGACCCTGTCTCTAAATAAAATACAAAGTAGGGCTGGGGATGTGGCCAAGTGTCAAGGGCCCCTGAGTTCAATTCCTGATTACCTCCAGCACCCCCAAAAGCAAAAGAGAAAGTCTATCATCCCTGGTAAAACTATGAATATTTTGTTATAGGACTCATTTTTAGGCGTTTAAATATACAGTTCACCAAATCATGAGTTGACTTGTTGAATCCCAAGTGAATTCCCAAGTCTAGAACCACATGCCAAGGAAAGTAAACATTAAGTATTTCTAATACAAATGATGTTTCCCCTGTGAAACCAGCTCCTCCCTTGCTCTGAAGGAAGGGAGTATTATGTAGCTGTGAATTGGGCAACTAATCCTCCGAGGCAGGTGGTTTGTTGTCCTCACTGACTGGAAGAGGAAAAGTTAAGAATGTGAAAAGACAAAAAAGACTGGGATTTTTTAAAGTTTTTAATCCTTTTTTGCTTTTCACCTAGCACTTAGAACAAGAGAAACATGAACTGAGAAGACGGTTTGAGAACCGAGAAGGGGAGTGGGAAGGGCGAGTGTCAGAGCTGGAGAGTGATGTGAAACAGCTACAGGATGAGTTGGAGAGACAACAAGTTCATCTTCGGGAAGCAGATCGAGAAAAAACACGGGCTGTCCAGGAGCTATCAGAGCAGAACCAAAGGTTATTGGATCAACTCAGTAGGGTGAGTCACAAGTTAAGAATTTATGATCTAAAATATTAAAAGCAGAAACAGCTTCTTTGTATTATACATTCTGATTTTTAATACCTTTGGTTTTGATACCAGCAAGTTAAGTATCATCCATCTCAAAGAATTTATAGGAGTCAGGAATCAAGACCCAGGCCTGTGGTTAAACATCTGTAAGACTTTGCGAGTCTTAACTTTAGCATCTTCTCATTTTTAAAATGAAGCTGTTGGGCTTAATGACGTCTGACTTCCTTATAACTCAGAGTATATGATTTATGATTCCTTTGCTAGAGAAAGTCTATCATTCCTGGTAAAACTATGTAAGTTCATTTAGTTCAAATATTGAAAGGTGCTGTCTTTAAACTGAGTAGCTCAGGGAAATTTTCTAGAGGAAGTAATTTTTCGTTTATATTACATTTGTGAATGTGCATTTTGAAAGGAGACATTGTATCTACATTAAAGTTTTTGTTTTATTTCCACATCAAGTAGAAATTCTTATGCCTTTATAAGGTGGTATCATAAAGTATTAATTAAACAAGGTCAATACTATAAAATCATTGCAAAAAAGGAGGCTAAGGACTGAATGTGTAGAAATCTAATTTAAATTCTTTCCACGTTTTTTTATTGGTCCATTATAGTTGTACATAATGATGAGATTCATTGTTATATATTCATATATGCACACAATACAGAACATACCTTTTTAACAAATCTAGGAATGTTATTAATGCCTTCATCAGTAAATCCACCTTTTTCTGAAAATCAGTCCTCAGTCTTCCTTGGGTTTTGAAAATAAAACTACTAATTCTTCAGTTATCAGGGAAACGAGAATTTCTCTTACTTCATCCCTAAGTGCTACTGCTCTCGTGAGCACTGCCCGGTCCATGTGGTGGTGGTCAGTGTGTTGGTCTTGGAGAAAGGCTTAGCTAGGGCAGTGTATGGTAAATCCCTGGATCTTCCACTGATTTGATGAGTGACACTGTATGAAGTAATTTCATTTGTGTCATAGTTGCTTCCTGTTGGAATTCTGAGAGAGGTGAAAACCTTCATGCCTCACAAGGAAGTGGAAAGTATGCTTCCAGTAGAGGAGGGAGAAAAAAAGAAGGAAAACGATGCTTAATAATAACTTCAAAAACATCTAGTTGCATGGAAATATCAGAATATGTGTGAAAGGTGATGATTCCAGCACTGAAGATCTTGCCTGTGAGTTTCCCATCTAGAATATCCAATCACCATTTGATTGGTTGGAAAGCAAAAACTGGACAGTTCCAGAAATAATTTCACAGGTCCAGCTGAGTAAAAGCATTCCTGAGTCAATTCTAAAACCTTTTTCAGCAACTGGAAAAGGAATCTCTATCCTTATAAAAATTTTATGAGTTTGAGTCTTTTCATTTATTATTTATGAAAGATTAATAAGAGAGGTCTGGCCAGATTGATTTATTTGCTGAAAAATATTTGTTTAATGCAACTATCAGCAAGAATTTCTTATGGAGACTTACAGAATGAATGCAACCAATCGAAACAAGCAAAGGGGAGATTAAGAATTCTTGGGGGCCAAGTTCATGTTGTAAAAACAGACTCAACCCTTTTTTTCTAATCTGGTAAAAAATAGGTACCAAGATGGATGAAGAGAAAAATGCTAACAAGGCATGGTACAAAACCACAGAACTTGGAATTGACTCTGCCTCTCATTAACTGGATGACTTTGTGTCTTTAGTTTCTTTATCTTTAAAATGGGGGTAAAAATTTATACTATATACAAGTACTGTTGAGGTGAAAATGAATAGTGTGTTTGTTGAGCACCACATGAAGGTAAGGGTTTGTTTTGGTGTTGATGGTTATTTTACTAAAGCAATATCTTACAGTTGTTCCATTACCTGATTTCACTATAGAAAATCCTGATAAGCTGCTCCCAGAAGAATATAGGAAGAGCTGGGTGTGGGGGTGCATGCCTGTAATCCCTATGGCTTGAGAGGCTGAGGTAGGAGGATTGCAAGTTCAAAGCCAGACTCAGCAACAGCAAGGCACTAAGGAACTCGGTGAGACCCTGTCTCTAAATAAAATACAAAATAGGCCTGGGGATGTGGCTCAGTGGTCGAGTGCCCTGAGTTCAATCCCTGGTACCAAAAAAAAAAAAAAAAAGAAAGCACTTCCACTAGATCTAGAGTCTTGTTATCCTCTCTGGCCTTGATTATAGGCCCTTCGTGGTTTTATGGCTTCTTTCCCTTTCTCTTTTAAAACAGGACAAGTCCCTGGGGTTTCCATCAGCAGAAGTTTAGATTGCATTTTATTATCATTTTATTAACCGGATATTCAGGAACTAGAGGAGTTAAGTACTTTGAAGTGAATTAAGATTCTCCTAGGACAAGATGGCAGCCAAGCAGAGATAGTAGAAGGCCATGCTTTTGTGCAGTGTATATGATGTGTTTTTATAAGCATGAAATGCATAATATTTAAAATGTAGTATAATATGTTTGTGAAACTTTCATCCAAAGTATTTTTACATTTATTTTGGCTAATTGTTTTTTAAAATATTTTTTAAAAAACTTTACTGAGCTTTATTCACACACCCACCATAATCCTCACCTTTTATTTATTTATTTATTTATTTTAGAAAGAGAGAGAGAGAGAGAATTTTTTAATATTTATTTTTTACTTTTCGGCAGACACAACATCTTTGTTTGTGTGTAGTGCTGAGGATCGAACCCGGGCCGCACGCATGCCAGGCGAGCGCGCTAGTACTTGAGCCACATCCCCAGCCCAATCCTCACCTTTTAAAAGTGAAAAATTCAGTGATTTTTTTTTTTTTGCTATATTTACAGAGTTTTGCAGTCATCACCACTATCTAATTAAAGCACATTTCACCTTCCCCCAAAAGTAACCCTGCACCCATGAGCAGTCACTTCTCATTCCTTATAACCCAGAACTCTCGCATCCTAACCCTGACAACCACTAATCCACCTGCAGTCTCTATGGATTTGCCTATTTTGCACATTTCATATAATTGACATTGTACATGGATGACCTTGTGCACATGGCGTTTTTAGCTTAGCATCATATTTGCAGTATGCATCCATGTTGTAGCATATATCAGTACTTAATTTCATTTTATGGCTGAAGAATATTCTGTTGTGTATATATAACATATTTTGTTTATCCATTTACTAGCCAATGGACATTTGGGTAATTTCCACATTTTGGCTAATGTGAATAAAATTGTCATTAATACTCATACATGTTTTTCTGTAGCCATATTTTTTTTAGCTCTAAAATAGGATGCTGTTTGTATATATCCATGAGCTTCTGGATCTTCATCAGGATGAAGAAAGGAATAAGCATTGTTCTTCTTTTGAATCTGAGAAAATTTGAGTAACAGAAAGATACATGATTTGATTAAATATCTTTCAGTTCAAGACTAATCAGATTTTCTGTGCCTCAATTTCAAGCTTTTCAGGCAGCAATTAAGGTCACAGGCTTTGAAACCACACAGCCTGGGGCTCAAACACCAATTCTGCCATTTACTAGCTGGGCAAATGGGGGAACGTTATTTTACCTTTTGCTTCCTCCTGTATTTACTGGAAAGAACTATATTATTAAAATTGCCTGATAGCATTATGAGGACTAAATGAGATAAACCATGTAAGACTCAAATCACTGTGTCTAGAATACAGTAAGTGCTTGATAAATGGTGGTTATCATTATGATTACCATGTCCTTTTCATGTAAGTGGATTGCTGTATCTGGTCATTCTTTGATTCTCTTTTTGGGAAGTGGGGTAGTGGGGATTGCACTCAGGAGACTCTACTGCTAAGCCACATCCTCAGCCCTTCTTTTTATGTTGATCAGAGTCTTGCTGAGTTGCCCAGGCTGGCCTTGAGTTTGTAATCTTGCCTCACCCTCTGGGATTACAGGTATGCACCACCGTGCCTGGCTTGATTCTCTTTAAGAGCATAAGACTCTAAGATGCAGAAGTAAAAAAAAATATTTTATTCTAAAAATTCATGTGAGTTTTGCATTTTGGGGGGTATTTTTTAAAATTTATTTATTTTAATTAGGTATATGTTACAGCAGAATACATTTTGATTCATTGTACACAATTGCAGCACAACTTTACACTTACATGGTTATACATGATGTAGTGTCACATCATATGTCCAGTCATACATGTACCTAGGGTAATGATGTACATCTTATTCCACCATTTTTCCTGCCCCCATACCTCCTCCCTAACCTTCTTCCCCTTTGCCCAACGTTCCTTCATTTTTCCCATGCATCCTACCTTGAGTTTTGCATTTTAATCCATATGATTTATTTGTTTTAACACAACAGTGCACAGTGTTTTGTTTACCAGTTAAACTGATATTCTGAAATACTTACATAAAATTGGCCCTCCCAGGAATTGAGTCAGATTTAGTCTATGATATCTAGTATCCACTGAGTTCTGCTGCGTATACTCTGGGGTTATCTTTATCCCAGTTTATTTGCTCGTTTAGACAAGTTCTCTAAGTTGTCTTTCAGTTACTAAGATTTTGTATCATTTTCTGAAACTCAGGCTGACATTTTTGGGGAAAGTGTTAAGTCACTTTCTAAATTAGAAAGTAATAGAACTATGGCATTGACAGTAGGGTTTGGTAAGACTTGTTAGACATGTCTTTCTTACTATCAAGAGTACATTAGGACTTGCTTTCAGGGAGAGTAGAGAGACACAGAACCATGCTTGTTGCCTGAGGTTGAGTGTCTCCATATAAAGATTAAAGGGGAGGATTTGTCAGAATCCTGATATATAACATACCTGCCTGCAGCAGAAGTATGGATTCTGATCAGTGTTGGTAAATCCTCAAGTGATTTTATGGCTGATGTAACCCCCACACCATGGAAAGCTTATAGAGTCTACTTGTGCAGCTGCAAGCCAAAGCCATGATTTGAATGATATAGAAACAGTCTTGTTCATAAGAATGATAGCAGTAAGACAGGCTTTTGATATTTTTTTTAATTTA